ATTTGGCTCAGCCCATCTTCTCCTTGGATTGAGCAGAGGAGGTACCAGCATGGCCAGGTCTTTGGGAGACCAGGACTTGCAGGGCTGCCCTAAGCAGGGAATGGTCCCGTTCCTGAAGCTGAGCAGCTTCAGTTCATTTTGCTGGGAGTTATTTTGTCCCTTTGATGCCATGACAGAGCCCCAGTCACCTGCCAGGCTTGTGTCACCTCACTGGGCTTGGGGTCACCAAGCTTTACTGCAGAAGTACCATATAGTGGAGGAGATGAAGGGAGCTGCTCTCCTGGACACTGCAGGGTTGTCGGAGAAGGTCTTCCTCCCACCTGCGTGCTCTCTGGGCAGCATCTGCCTCTCCGCTGCCTGTCACGGGGGCTGGCTGAGGTCGTGAAAGGAATTTGGCTGAAGTACACCCCAGTTTTGGTTGGAGAGGGCTCTCAGAGTTCCCCTCAAGTGCTGTCTCTGTCCAAGACCCCATGCACATACCCGCTGCAGAGTTGGGAGTGGGCAACCACTTTCTTTGCTAAAAATCAACCCCCCGACTCGATCGTTGCAGCCATCGAGTCAACAGCCTTGTCGGAGAGCTCGGAGGGATCCCTGGACAACCCCTGGAATCAGCTTCCCCCCATATCTTTGACCCTGAACTCTTCGGATGGTGAGTGCCCATGCCTGCTGGCCATCCAGCCTGCCTCGCCGGCAGGACACAAGCCCCTCTCCTCTCACTGGGTGACCATGTAGCTCCTCCTGGACACCAGCTTGCTTTTCCCCTGGCCAAAAAATAGCGCTGTAGCGTTCCCAGCATCGTTCTACCTCCGGTGCTCTCCTGCCCAACCCAACATGCTGGGGCAGGTCCCACCACCGGCCCGCTGCCCGTGCTGACCACGCATTTTCTCTTACCAGAGAAGACCCTTCAACGTGAGGTTCCGCCAAAGACCCAGCAAGACGTGGCTGCTGACAGCAACACCCCGGACTTGCTGGAACAGTGTAGCCAGGACTCTCCCGAGCGCTTGCTGCAGGGAGAGCCGGTGCAGACCTCCTCTCCCTCCCTACTCTGCTCCTACAGCCATATGAGTACTGTGGAGACCACAACCGCCCAGACAACGTCAGCTGTGGAGGCAGCCTGCAGTACCCCCTGCGCTGCTCGAAGCCCGGAGATATCGGGGGACTCTGAAACCACCCTGCCAGCTCTTTCTCCAGCGTTTTCCATCACACCCAGCAGCCGCTCGCAATGCCTGCCCGAAGGGACGCCTCACAGGGAGCAGGCGGACTCCAGCGGCACAGCTTTGCCTCCAGATACATTGAAGCGTAGCCCGGCTTGTGCCAGGGCCCGGGGAGGAGGTGCTGTGGGTGCCAAGAGGAAGCTGCTGGCAGGAGATAGCCACATGCCGCCGGCCCTCGGTGGGCAGCAGCATCCCCGAGGTGCCCCGTGGGGAAGAGAGAGAGACATGGGCAGAAGGCTGGAGCTCCTGAGCGCACAGCACACCAAGAAGAGCAGAAAGGAGGAGACGGGGCTGCGGTGTGGAAAGGAGCTCGAGGAGGAGGAGGAAGAGGAGGAGGAACCCCAAGCATCCCCAGCGAGCGGCCCCAGCTCCAGGCCGGAGCAGCGCAGAGCTCTGCAGCCGGTAAAGATGAAGCAACTGGTGGGGGTCCCCTAAGGGGTGGTCCCCAGGGAGGTTCTCTGTGTCCCCCCCACCACTGGTATCCCTCCCCAAGGCCTGTTTCTCACCTGGCTGGTGGGGATGGGCAGTTGAAGACAGGTATCAACGTAGAGGATGGCCCCAACCCTCCCGAAGGAGGAGCTGGGGTACTGGGGGAAGATGTCATTGAGCCTGTCACCTTGTTGGGTGGGAACCAACAGCTGCTGGAGCGTCTTCCAGCTCTTTGGGTAAAATATAGATTGGAAGAGCAGGAAACGATGGAGGGAGAGACCCCAGAGTTTTCCGTGGTGTATCGGGGTCTCGGGCTGTGTGGTGGGGCTCTGCTGTGGGTTTTCCAGCTGGGGCAGCACAGCCTCACCCTCCCTTTCGCTTCTGCAGTACGTGAAGAAGAAGCCGGTCCAGTACAGATACGAGGCGCCGAGCCCCGAGCTCTGCGAGCGGATAAGATCCGGCAGGTCCCATGGCCTCTGACGGCTGTCCCTTGTGCCCCCCGGCTCCCCGTGGTGGCTACATGAGATGTGTTCTTGGTCTCCAAACCCTCCCTTACCCCTCGTCACCGGGCTGCCCCGCCGTGTGGCGGTGTGTCCCTTCTCACCCCGGTCTGGTTTCGCAGGATCTCGAAGGCGATGCTGAAGTGGGCGTGTTGGATACTCACGGACAGGGAGGGGAAGTCCTGAGCACGGCCCATCCTTTATTTCTCCACCAGTTCAGAAATGGTTTAGAGCTGCCTGGGAAGAGCAGCTGGGGGGG